GATATGGTGAATGTAAGAATAGCTTTTCTTTTCCACCAGACATGTGTGTTTGTGTGTGTGTGTGTGTGTGTGTGTGTGTGTGTGTGAGAGAGAGAGAGAGAGAGAGAGAGAGAGAGAGAGATTGTGCGCATGTATCAGAATAAGAAGTGAGAACCCAAATTGACAGGCCTGGAACCCCCAAGGAACAACAGCCTGATCATCTGGGTTTGAACTCCAGTTTAGTCATTTAATATCCACTAAACTGGGATAGGTTACTTCTCTCTGAGCCTCAGTTTGCTCACCTGTAAAATAGGCACAATACTATTAGCTGCTTCAAAACTTGCTTTGACTTTTAAAGGAGTCCATGTAAAGCGCTTAGAACAATGTCTAACACTTAAGGAGCACTCACTAAAAATTAGCTAGCTGTCTGCGTCCCTCCCATCAGTTTTCATTGTTTGGATGCGTGAACTGTCAACTCTGTCAACAGGTGCTCAGAAAAGAGATGCTTGACTACGCATAATCGAGAACTCCTGCTCCCCTTCCCTGTCTCTAGACCATTGCTTCTGGAAGTGAGGTCCTGGACAGTATCATCAGCATTACCTGAGAACTTGTTATCAATGCCCATTCTTGGTCCCTCCCACTCCCACCCCTGACCTTCTGAATCTCCAGGAGAGATTGGTGCGTGCTCAAGTTTGGGAATCATTGCTCTATCTCTTCCAGGGAGGGATGCTAACAGGGCTGAGTCACAGTATCCCCTGCAGGGTGGAGGCCCTTTAAGGCCTTCCGTATAAAAGCCATCTCAACTATATCCAAACTAGTAAAGGTGTCCCCGGAAATGACCTCACCAGCAGTCTCATGTGATAAATGGGCCATTATTCCCTCAGCTTTCACTTTACTGTGGCTTTTCTTTTCCCACCTGTGGCCAGACCCAGGTATTTATCCCTTCTCCCTGGTACAGGCTCCCAGTTTTCACTCCATCCTGTCTCCTCACAGTGAGAGGGGTATCAGCCAGGTCGCTGAAAAATACCTGCCAAGGATTCCCAACACAAAGAGTTTCCTGGACTCTGGGGAAGTTCCAGTTTCCTGGAACTCTAGTTTTGCCAGCCCTGCCCATCCGGCGTTCCTAGGGCTCGGGCACTTTTGGGGGCCCAGAATCTTGGTTTTCACCATGACATTTACAGAGCAGCTAGCCTGCCCTTTGGAAAGTGCCCAGGGCTTGGCGGACAGTGATGAGGTGGCTGGTCTCCAGCAGTTGGCAAACAGCGTGGCACATTAAATGTCACTGCAGGCTTTGTTTGGTTTTAAATTGAAAAATTGCTAGAGTTATGAAAGCTTATCATTCTTGCCTAGAGGAACAAACATCCCACTCTACCCCGGAAATGAGCAGCCGCCCCCGATCTCAACTCATCCCCCTGCGCCACTCACGCTCTAACGGGCACCCAACAGCCATGGAGCCCATGACTAAGAGCGTGTTTCCGGAACTTCTCTTGCTGCTGGGAAAGAATGCGGCTCCATTACTAATTCAAAGCAGGTCTGACCTACCTACGCACAGACCCCTATGCACATTTTCCCAGGATCCTCTACCCTTCCTTTTTCTTCTCTTCTTAAAAGGAACATTCATGCTTTTTTTTTGTATACAAACATCCATCACCTGCAGAATCCTAGTCCGAGTCTTACAACTAGAAGGACACTTAAGGGCACTGGGTCCAAGACTCTGCTTTCGAAGTGATAAGTCATTGTTCCCTATACAGATGATGAGGTCCAGAGAGTAAGCAACCTGCCCAAAGTCCAGAGAGTAAGTGTAGAGCTCAGACCCCGGGCACCTGTCTCTTTGCTTCTCTTCCCCTGATCACCAGAGAGCAGACCCCAGAACTTGAGGACAGCTCTTCATTTCCTCGTTCCTTTCCAGCCCAGCCTGGGACCAAATTTAGTGTCATCAATATAGTTAATCCCAACGTGTCATCATTGTTGTTGTTATTCAGCCAACTCCCTTCTGCTAGTGCATTTCAACCCTGGAGTGAGGACGCCCCACTCTCTATGCAAGTGTGAGCATGCGAGCACCTGTGGGGTGATCTGGGAGGACCCAGCCCTCCTTTTCCATTCGCTAGCATTTAGGTCAAAAGTAGGCAGGATCTTGGATGGTTCATGATCTGAGTCTTATCCAACAGGCTTGACTGCCAAGAAGCCCAGGCCCACAATGGCTGACCTCCTGGGACGAGAGAACTTGAATTCTAAAAGTGGCTGAGACCTTGATTGTACCCCATTTGTCCCTACTTAGGCTTTTTGTGTTGTTTTGTTTTGTTTGTTTTAATCCTTGGAAGAGGAAAAAAAACAGGTCAAACAAAAAAATCCTCTGGTTAGCATGTAGAACCAGCCATGACCCTAATCGGTCTGTCTCCTCCAACTTTTCCAACTCTGGACCTCTCCAACTCAGCTTCCCACGGTTAGACCTGCTTGGTACTAACTAGGATGCTGTGTGGGCTGGGGTGCAGGGCCCTGACCTGGCCACACAAGCTTGCCTGTGCCTCAGGCGAGAGACCTGACCCTTCTGATTCCTGGTTGCCTCTGAGAAATACACACTAGGGCTCTTTAGAAATTAATTGTCAACAGATGTGAAAAACGCTGTGGTACCCACAAATACAAGTTCCTTTTTTTCATTCCTGGATAACATTAGTGCATTCTTCCCCTAGTCAAAAGCATTTGCATTATAATGGGGGGGAGGCAGGTTCTATAAGAATAATTTTTAAAAGATGAATCTCTAACAGTGAATTTGGGGCCTCAGAAATAAGCTCAAGAAAATACTAGGCAATGTCATCACAGTAAGCAAGGGGTACGTGATGACAACACAGGTTTGAGAGGCTCAAGGGACAAAGAGGTGAAGGACTAAGTAAACAAAGTCACAGGAGAACTAGATGAGATTTTAATAACTCACTCTGTCTTTGCTTTTGTGTAGAAAGGGCCCTGGTTGTTATGTGCGCAGCAATTCTGTGGTTGCATTTATTAAACACCTACTGTGTGCTCTGTCCCCAAACCATTGCCAATGTTGTTATTTTCCCTTTGTCTTTCTCCCCAAATCCTACCCCACTCCTTTGTCTCCTTCAATCCTATTCTCCCTTAGTCCTTCCAGCTATACCCCACCACCAGACCTCAGCTGCCCATGGCTGCCTTGTCTGCAAATGTCATAAGAAAGGGGTTGTGACAGGGCTTGAAGAACAACCAAGCTAGCATGAGGCCCCTCCCCATCACCACCACCTGAGAGAGATGGGCAGACACAGATAAGAGTTAATTTCACATGCTCTTTACCTTCCCGCTAAAGGCATTTCCAGAGAATTTCTCTGGTGACAAAAGAATGAGTCAGGAAGAGTCATGTAAGATTTCCTTACAAATCTCCTGAGTTAAGGAGAATATGTCCAGGAAGCCACTTCTCATTTTAACCTAAACCTCCATGCAGGCAAGTTTTATGGAGAGACCAGGCTATCTTCTAGTCCTCCCCGATGCCCTTCGTCCTTTCACCCACGGGCATGGTTCTCTCTTTAAAATATCACAGGGAGGAATTTATTTTAGCACCAGGAAGCTCAAGTCCATAAAATGTGGCTTCTGGCTTTTAAAATCAATTCCAGTCATGTCAGAAGAACTGCCACTGGCATGTGGAGCAGTTATTAAAATGTGTACTTTAGCCACGGACTCTAGCCAGCCCTTGCCACTCTGTGCCCCTGACATTGAAGTCAATGGCACCAACCAGCCCCTGTCATACAGCTCCAAGGCTGGTCAGGAGGCACCTGCTTAGCAAGGATTGATTACAATCTCCTTATTGGGGACCATCTGGCTAGACTGGCCCACCTTTGTGAATGTGGAGGGCATGCCCTACACTAGGAAAATGTCCTTCACTGAGAAAGGTGTTGGACTATGTGTGCAGTCAAGTTCAAGCTTCTCGCCGTGGCCTTTCAGGATGTCCATCTTGCCTGACCTTTTGGCACTTCCTGCCTCACACCTTGTGTTCCAACAATACTAAACCACTCACTGGCCCCCACAATGCCTCAGGGCCTTTGTATGGGCTGCCCTGATTGGAATGTCCTGTTTCCCCTTCCATCTACCTGGGCAACTTCTACCTACTAGTTGAGATTCAGCTCAACTATGACTGCCATTATAAACTTAAATATGGTCATAATTATGAATGTGGTGGCTTCCAAAACCAAGCAGCCCTAGGGTCAAATCTCTGTTCATTTCCAGGTCACATTACCACCCTAAACCTCAGCTTCCTCATCTAAAATTGGGGAGTAATACCACCAAACTTTCAGTTGTCAGAGGAAGATGTCAAGTGCTCAGTTGAGTAGCTGGCATATAGTGAGCACTGAAGTTCAGTAGCCATGCTCATTGTTTCCTGATCTCTCTACTCTGCCTTCCCATCCTAGACTGGGATGGTGCCTCTGTCACTATCCTTTTAATAACTCTATTGAAGAGTAATTCACATACGATACATGTAAATTTTCAAGGCATTGTTTGACAAAGGTTGACACCTATACACACCTATGCATATGGAACAGTCTGTTACTCCTAAAGATTTCCTTGGGCCAACTTCCCAATTAATCCTCTAGCCCCTACCCCTGGGCTCAGGCAACCACGGATCCCTTTCTATTGCAAGGTATTATAATGCCTTTCATACAGCGTCATCTAAATGGAACCATATAGTATATACTCCTTTGTGTTTCATTCACTCGCCATTATGGGTTGAGATTCTTTGCGTGCAGTAGTAGTTGGTTACTTATTGCTAAGCTTCTATCCTTGCATTATAATTTCTATCTGATTCCTCCACTAGACTGTGAGGCCCTCAAAGATTCAATCTTTTTTTTCTCCTTTGGTTTCCAAATCAGCACTCAGTAAATGTTAGAGGGGGCGGGGGTGGGGGGAAGTGAGGGAGTTGCAAAAAGGATCAGATAAGCTCTTGGCTCCAACCTTGCATCTAGTTCACCCCTGGAGGCAGTATTCACGTCCCCAGAAGAGCCCCGTGTGCAAACACTTACAGCAGCCAGTCCACAGCCACCAGCAGGCTGATGTCCTCCGTTGGCAGGCCCACGGCTGTCAGAATGAGGAGCATGGTGACCAGCCCAGCGCTGGGGATACTGGCTGCGCCGACGCTTGCCAGTGTGGCCGTGAGGCTGTGAGAACAGAAAAGGTCAGGTCACGGGAGGAGAAAATGGCCTTGGCAAAACCATCTTTGGCAATTTTAAGCTTTCATGTTCCTTGCAATCATAAATTCCCTTTTCTTCCCAAGAAATAGCAAAATCTAGAATTCCAAGACCCAGGAATTGGGGTCTATTTAGATTCTGCTTAACTGCAATGGAAACTTATAAATTCATGGGTGGGAGCCTTATCCCCATCATGATATTCAAGTAGCCTAGTCTATCACAGGTTAAAATAAAATAAGCGTGGCTCTAAAATCAGGTAAGGAAATATTAAAGAAGAAAAACAAGTCACTTTAATGCTCCCACAGGAAGACCACTGCATTCTGCTTACGACTTTATGTCTGTGTGAGCACCAGAGACTTCTGGACTACATGACAAGAATCTGAGAAGACCATTGCCAATGTTAACATGAGAACTCAGAATAACAAATATCCAGACCCAGTGGACATCGGGGGAACAAATCAACAGATTCCAAATGACTTTAGGCTTCAGATGCCTGGACAGTTCATCATGGACTGGAAAATCCATCATTTGGACAGAGGGTGCCAAGAAATGATAATGAAATAACGGAAGGTTTCTTTTTGAGGCATCTCGCATTTGCTTTCCAAGCAATGCCAAGGGCACGCCCAGCATCATTTTGAAGTTATCTCTGGAAGAGGGGTTAATCTAGGCTTCATGCTCCCTGTGGAGACACCAGGGGCCTCTGCGGTCCAGCAAAGGGTAGTGACTTTGTCTCCTCCTTCCTAGATGCCATTTATAAAAGCTGTCATTTCTAAATGGAAGGATGCTTCTGAAAATACAGATTCCCAACTTGCTTATGTGGGTGCTGGAAAGAAAGGGGGGCTGATTTCTTTGCAGTAATAACATTCTAGAGTTTCCAGAGGAGCTCCGCCAGGCTCCTAAACTGCGGTAACCAAGTCTAGACCATGAGTGTAACCAAGCACAGAATCCTGGGGTCTTCCAGTTGGGAGGGACCTGAATTTATCTAATCTCACATATGAGGAAAGGAAAGCCCTGGGACATTTTGTGGTAAGCCTTATCCTTCCATATGGTCCTCCTTCCACACTTAGGCCTGTTACAGTAAAGACACCTTCCCTTGGAGGGATCTACAGAACTCATCTGTGCTCTTCCCTGCCCCACCAATAGGGTGTTGGTGTTAGGGTTTAGGGAACTCCATTTTCCCTGGACCCATCTGGGTCCCAGGAAGTAGCAATGTGCTGTGATCATCATTGAAGGTTCTGGAGTTGAACGACCTGGGTTCAAATCCCAGCTCTGCCACTTATTCACCACATGACTTTAGGCAACTGAAACGCTTTGTGTTTTGATTTCCTTATTTGAGAGAAGGAGATAATCATGGGGTCTCACGCACGGGGTTCTCAGGAGCTAATAAATAAAAAGCACATAGAAGATACCAGGCACATTGTAACCCCCCCCCCGCCCCCCAATAAATGTCCAGTATTATTCTTATTGGGAAATCTCCACAGGGTGAGGCTGCTTTGCAATGAAAACTTCCCTTAAACCCCAAGAGCTGGAAGGTGGGAATTCTCAGCCACTTCCCTGGCACGGATAAAGCACCAGGGAAGGGGAACTCCCCAAGTTCCAACCATCTTGGCCTCAGCCATGTACTTTACAACCCCAGCTGCTTCTGTTATGAGTCACTCTTACACATGCCTGTGCACTATGGCCACATTGTCTGGTTACCGCTTGGTTGTGTGTGACAAATTCTACAAAGAGAACACTTCCTGGCAGCTGGGTCTCCCTCAGTTCCTCCACCCCAATCATGTCCTTATGGGCTGAGTGTCCGTGCAATTCTAAGTCCTGCAGAAGCTCCCTGAGCAGTGAGCTCTCTTCCATTCCTTTGTCCCTTTTCCTGTCCTTCCTCTCCCTGGCTCACATCTCTAGGGCTAGTTCTGGGATGCTGTGCAAGGTACTTACACACATTAGCAGAACCCCAAGATAGCTCTGCAAGGTTCATATGGTTGTACTTGCTCTCCAGCAGGAAATCATGGATCAGTGGGTGGAGAAACATAGGGTCCCACAGCTCAAACATGGTCTGCTGGGATTTGAACACTCGCCGTCTCCAATGCCATGCTATACCTGCTGTCCCTTGATTCTCCCCACATTAAAAACTCTGAGTTAATGAATCCCAACCACTTGGCCACTGGTCCATTCTCCCATCTCTAAGTTCTCATTTAATGGTGTGAACTTGATGGGCGGTGTGGTTGTCTTCAAGGCCAGGAACTTAGGGACCAGAAATCATCTTTGCTTGGCTCCAAAAGAAGGGGCTTCACTAAGGCACCCTTTTCATCTTTAAGTTTTAAAACAAGGGAGGCTGGCAGTCTCACATGCAGTTAGGACATGATTTAAAAGGCCTGATACTCTGACCTGAAGCATGCCTTCCCTCACTATGTCGCTGTCATATTTTCTTTCATGTTCTAGGAGTATTATATTTCATTTAGTATCAGTAACAGTAATAATACCGGTAGCTAACATTTATTGACAGGTGACTATGTACAAGGCACAATGCTCTCAACCTCTCTAGACTACGTGATTATTGTTCCCACTATACAGATGAGGAAACTGAGGCTCCTGTATAGTACTGCTATGAACTGAGTTATATCTCCCCAAAATTCATTTGTTGAAGCCCCACTCTCCAACGTGATGGGCTTTGGGGAGGTAATCAGGTCATGAGGGTGGAGCCCTTATGATGAAATTAGTGCCTTTATAAGAGGAAACTTAAGAGGTCAGCTATTTCTGTCCACACATGAGGACAGACCATGTCGGCAAAAACAGCGAGGAGAAGGTCATATGCAAGCCAGGAAGAGGGCATTCATCAGGAGCTGAATTTGCCAGCACCTTGATCTTGGACTTCCAGACCCAAGAACTATGAGAAATAAATTCTATTGTTTAGTCATCTAGTCTATGGTATTTTATTATAGCCCCCTAAGCTGACAGGGTGGTTGTGAGAATTGGATAAATTAATATAGGCAAGCAGGTGTGATCTTTAAGTTTATGGAGAAGCCATCTGTTTTTCCTGATCTCTTGGGAAAGTGTTCTTTCTAAATTTTTTAAATGATACATATGGTAACAATAGCTTTATTCAAGACAAAACTACTTGCTATTTATTTGTAATAAAATGTTTTATGTGGTATTGAGGAATCTCTTCCTTGCAGAATTTCATCATTCCAGCCATCACCACCTGGAATGCTGAAGGGAGCATATTTTAATGAGAGACAAACTGGATCCAGAGTTAGATAACGTTGGCCCCAGACACAGCCCTGCTAGGTCATTACTAATGACGTAGCCTTGGACAAACGTCCAAGCCCCTCGAAGCCTGCACCTCCTCGTCTATGTGTACGAGCATAAGAATAACTGCCTGGCGACATCACAGGGTTGTTAAAGTTCAAATAATATCAAGTTTCCACGGCAGTCTCATGCCCAGCACCAGCAGAAGGCACTGGTATGAGCCTGCTTCTCCCCTGCCACATCTTTTCCCTCTGAGGCGGCCAATAATTCCTCTCCTGTGTTATTTCCTTCATCATTCTCCTGCCAGGAGAACTGACATTCAAGTGGCCCCTGTCAAACGGAGTTAGAGTGGAAGGGGACAAGGTAAAAAGATTGTTTTGGGGCTTCACCCCACCCACCTCACTCACCTCACGGTCACAATCTGGCCTCCATCCAGGACAACACCATTCATTTGGGCAATAAAGATGGCAGCCACTGCTTCATACAGGGCTGTACCGTCCATGTTAATGGTTGCTCCGACCGGGAGGACAAATCTGGTCACACGTTTGTCAATCCCCAGGTTTTCTTCCAGGCAACGGAAGGTGACAGGCAAAGTTCCAGCACTGAGGGAGAGAGAGAGAGAGAAGGAGAGGGAACAGGAGGGAGAGGGAAGGGTTAGGTCCACTGTGGAGAAGCAGAACAAAGAAACTGGAATGGCACCACCACGTTTTTGTTCTTCTGTTTCAGTTGAGCAACGTGACATGCAAAAAAGCAGTGTCTGGAGCCAAATTGAAAACGAGTAATTGGGAGGCTCACATTCGCTCTTATTAACATGCTAATTGGCAACAAAATATTTTCGTTGGTCCAGGGTTTTGAGATCAACTCAGAGCTGCAAGTTCTCTTTTTCCTTTGGTCACTATTTCCATCTTGGATTAATACTGAAGCCTTTAGTTAGAATGGAAGCTGGGGGGGGGGGGGGAGGGGGGAGTCAGAAAAGAATCAGCTGTCAACTGTGAAATGGAATGAGGAATTATTGAATGACCCATAATTTCATGTTAGAGGCACTGATTCCAACAAGATGACTACGTGGGTTGCGCACAGCCCTTGGGAACTGCCCTGAGCTGAGCCTGCTAATTTTGCAAAGGCTGGACAAACACATTCAGCACCATTCAGCCCGAACCCAAGCTTCTAACTACTCTCTGGGGACCCTCACAGGCATTCCAACTCCCTGATAAATGGCCAACTCTACAGTCTCTCCAACGACACAGGGCAGAGAAGCATGTACTTTGTAGCCTATCAAAGACCCACTATGGAGTGACTTCACCCCCACTCCTCCCAGGCGTCACGGGGATTCGTGACCACATGACCCAGCTCTAAGGTCAGAATGCCTGACAAGGTCATGCATCTTCTAAAATGAGAGACCTGTAGGATCAGGTTTACTGAAGGCCAGGATATTATTTCCATGTGAGTAGAGGTGCCTGGGAGGGGAGGTAGACTGGCTTCAAAATTTAAGTAACATGAAAAGCAATGCAGAATACTCAGAGTTCCACTATATTGCTTTGTGGCCTATTCTCTCGTGTGCTTTCTTACAATATGTTTTTATTGATTTCAGAGAGGAAGAAAGAGGGGTAGAGAGATAGGAACATCAATGATGAGAGAGAATCATTGATTGGCTGCCTCCTGCATGCCTCACCTTGGGATCTGCCCACATCCCCAGGCATGTGCCTTGACAGGGATTTGAACTGTGACCTCATGGTTCATAGGTTGATGCTCAGCCACTGAGCCATGTCAGCAGAGCCTCTTCTCTTGTTTTGTATTTTTTTGTTTCATTTTGTGTGTGTGTGTGTGTGTGTGTTTCTCTCCTGCATTTATATCCTTAGTCATAGTTCCTCCTTTTACTCTTTAGAATTAGGGCTCCAGCCAAGCTTCACAGTCACCTGCTGAGGGCTCAGTTTCTCAGGGAGTGGGAGAGGACGATCACCTTCAGAGAACCTACCTGAAATGCAGATTCCATGGCCCGCTCCGAACCAAGGAAGTGGAAGCTGTAAAACTCAGGTCACCTACACCTGCGTCTTATCAAACCACTGACCCACAAGCTCCTAATACCAACCTAGAGAAGCCAGAGTCATCTGACTGGAACCTTCTTTGTGATTTCAGGTGAGGGGTCTGTCTCAGGCCCCCTCCTTGGTCTTAGGTAGGGAGAAGAAATAAACCCAGGGAGAGAAGATGGAGTCTGGCTCCATTCACAGGTGGGGATGTCATGGTACTGGCTTGCTGTCCTCACTGCTTTCATGAGAAGTTAGGGTCTCTTTCTTACCTGCACCTTCCCCACTCCACCCTTTCTGGGACCCCTTCGAAGGGTTGCCAGGACACCACGACTGACCTGAAATGGCTGCCCAGCTATGGCTGGCAGCCAGGATTATCAATGGTATGACTCTAAGGGCATGTTTGGGAGGACTGGAATATGTTAATTTGTATTATTTCATCTATGTTCCCAAAATGTCATCCAAGGGGTCCTTAGATAATTAAACAGATTAGGGAAAATACTGATAAAGCATGAAGACATTCTCACTTTCTATATTAGACAGTTTTTGTGCCTTAACAATCCATATATACCCAACCAAGTCACACTGATTCCTGAGCATTTTAACCCTTTCCTGTCCTTCCACATCCAGACATTGTTTTTGGCCTCCTGCCTCAATGGCTGATGACAGTCTTCGAATGTTGCTAATAATAACTATCAGATACATGAGAGTTTTTCCCCAGGTTCATTTTAACAGCGTGCACTGGCGTTGGAGGGAGGCAGAGAGGTGTGTCCCGGGCCATGCCCCCTCCGTCCGCCTCCCTGTCACCGACCTCTGTGTCCACTGAGAAAAGCAGGTCAGCACCCCCACATCCCCACTCAGTCCAAGGTCCCAGGGGGTGAAGGATATTTCGCTGGCTGTCCTGCGGCTCTGTTTTTTCCCCTCTGGCCATGATGGCAAAGATACTTCTTAGTAGGTGACTCCTGTCACGTTGACTTAAAAAGTTTTTTTCTTAAAAAAAAAATTCCACATCCACATTTTAACTGAAGATTAAAACCACACTGGTTTCTTTTTCTTTTTTCAAATGAAATACAGGGTAAGGAGGAGAAAAGGGCCTCACATTTGTGTGGCTTTGGTCAAATAACCCAAGCATTTGTCTGATTTCAATACAAGCATACCTTTAAGATTTAGCTTGTCTTGTAAAGCTACTGGGTTAAATGTCTAGTTATTCCAAGAAAGGATAATTGTAATATTTTTGAAGCAGTCTAAAGGTCAAAACCATAAATGTATTGGAACAAAATATAATGTTTTATAATCTTTTGTGCAGATGTACCTAAGCAAACTGAAATTCTAAATACGAAAGCAAAATCCTGACCGCTCCAACCACACACAAATTAAAAATTTCTATTGGCAGAAAATATTGTAAAATTTTAAGATAAATGTAAAGTTGAGGGAGACCTTATTTGTCACATTTGACACGAGTTAATCCTCTAACACATGAAGAGCGTTGAAAACCAATCAGGAAAGGATGAATACCCCAACAGGAAATTAAGATCACAAACAATTCACAGAGTGGGAGGGGTGGGTGGGTAGGGCGGGATGGTCAATAAGGACACAGAAAGATGCTTCCTCTCACTCGTAATCAAAGAAATGCAAGTCCAATGAGATCACTTTTCACAATAAGATGGGAAAGCATTGAAGTAACTGATATCTGCCGGTGCGGGTGAGTAGGCGGTGAAAGGCATCCTCTCACACCCATGTAGTGGGACTTCAGCTAACACACTTCCCTGACGAGCAATCTGGTGATATGTTTTAAGCCACCAACGTGCTGACCATTGCACTCAGACATTCCACTTCTAGAAATTTATCCTGAGAGGGTCATCGGACAGCCTTGCGGAGATGCAGTTACAAAGATGCTTGTCACAGTACAGCTTAATAGACATGCCTTAAATGTACATCAATGGGGGTTGTAGTGTGGTACATACAGAGTACTGTTATGCAGTTTTTTAAATAGTGGAGAGATCTATATTATATGATCGGTGCAGTTTTTATGATGTATTGACCAGTGAAAATAGCAGTCTACCTATCTATGTATAGTAAGAACTGGAAAGCTATGGAACTGTAAAGATTAACTAAAAGGTTACCTACCACCAATGATCACACAGCCAGTAAGTGGTGAATTTGGGAAACAAATCAAGGTCTTTCAGTCTCCAATGATCACTGGGTGGTGGATCACTGGGGACATGAGCGGACCAAGGACGATGCTCCAGGGACAGAAACTCACCAGGGCAGAAAGCCCCGGATGCCTACCAAGGGGCAAAACTGGGCAAACAAGAACCTCGCCTCCAGAGTAACCTATGCTCCCCTAGCATATCACTGGCCAGGCGGTTTAGAACCCTTGACCTTTTCCTCCCTAAAGATAACATCTAGGCCTCAGTTGTATTTCAGCTCCAGGCCCATCTAGACAGGTGACACTGTGGCTGCCTCAGGAGCAGCTACATTGACATATGATCCCCTGCCCTGACACTGACCAACCAGGGGAGACCTGGACCCTGAAAGAGCGCATCTGGAAAGCTGATGAATATTCTATTTAGACCCTCCCCTGAGACCTCCCCTAAGATTCCCACCTGCAAGAAAAAGATACACATGCTCAGGACTAAGGACCCAGTTTGCGATCTCCCTCCAAGGAGCATGCCCATGCCATTCCCTCCTCCCTTCCCCTTTCCCCACAGGCACGTATCCCCCAACCTCTAAGGGACCCCATGAGACTTGCAACCAGGGGAGCAATGGGCAGTGGCAGCTTGTCCTGGGTTAACCCCTTGAGCCTGTCTCCAAGGCCCCCTTTTTTCTGACTTCTCAGTGAGTTAAAGCAGCCCAGCCCAGGCTCTGCTGTTACTTCCCCTATGCCCTTCCTTGTTTCACTGTCCTAAGTATATTTCTGCTGCAGTCATGACCCCAATACCCTTTGGATAGCCCCATTCCCCTATCCCCTTTTCCTTAAATAAATTTAATTTGTCTTTATTCACCGTCTGAGATGGCTATTTAGCCTGCCTGCGCACTACCACTTAAACCTTTCAGTGATATTCATTGTCTTCTTCAAAAATTTACTCACTGTCTGAACTTTTCACAAGGAGCACATACCATGCTCATAAACCAGAAAGCAAAAATAAAACTCAACATAATTGTTTTTGTGTTTGGAGGAGAAAAAAAAAAGATTTACTTTTTCTCCAAAGAGAGAGGATCTTTATGGATAGAAATATATTGCCATAGGAAATGTATAGGCCCCCAAAAGAAAAAGAAAATTTTGAAATGTTTCCTTTCACCTTAGAAAATGATGCAGAACCTAGAGCCCAGGATTGTGTAGATTTCAGATTTTCCTGAAAATAATTTTTCCTGAAACCCCACATTCTGCTAGTCCTGAATCCTCATTGATTTGCAACATGGAAATGTACTTTGGCTTCCCAGACAGTCACCACGATGTGCCTGTTAGGTCACTTAAGGAAAACCTGGCTGCCTGCTCAGTCGCCCTGTGTCAGGGAGCCGCCACCTCACTGGCAGCGCGGGGTCACGGGATCTGCAACAACGGCCTGCCGACATGGCTGCAGAGATAATGCTGGGCCTCCCTGCCACCTGCTTTATGACCTTAGTCTTAGCTTGTGACCCAAGGAAATACAAACAACTCCTGCAGACTGAAAGAATAAATTACCAAGCATGTCTTATGTATCTGTGCTTGTTTGTTCTTTTTGGTTAAATTCAGTCCAAGATGATATAAAAAAATTGTTTTCTCTGAGTATCTTTGGGCCCTCATTGGCTTCTGAGGTGGTTGAACTAGGTAGTGAAGAAGAATGTCGAGTCAATGTCAAGCCCGATTTTCTCAAAATCAATGTGGCAGAAAGGTCCATTAAAGGTTCACACAGAGGTCAAAGACTGGACTGACTTCTGGTTTGTGTGAAAACTCTTACCCAGCATACCCTTTATCCTCTAAAGCTCGTTCTATTTTTGAAAAAAAAAATTACTCCAATAGACTGATATTTTGTGATAGCATTTTTTTCAAATCACAGGTGGCAGAATTTCCTAAATAGAACAACACCCTGTTATACCCTTTTGAAGAACATTTAAAACTAATAACTAAATGCTACATGTGGCAAGTTAGGCATTATAGATTAACTAGAGGCCTGGTGCACCAACTCATGCATGGGTGGGGTCCTTCGGCCTGGCTGGTGATCGGGGCGATGGGGGCCGGCCAGCCTGGGGGTAGGGACCATGGGAGGTTGGCCAGCCATGGAAGGTTGGCTGGTAATGGGAGGTTGGCTGTGGGAGGGCACTGACTACCAGGGGGCAGCTCCTGCATTGGGCATCTGTCCCCTGGCGGTCAGTGCATCATCATAGCAACCGGTCAACTGGTCTTAACAGTTACTTAGGCTTTTATATATATAGATAGCATGCATTCATTTGGTAAATTTCATGTGAAGTCATGTTTCCAACACAGGTTGCCTAACAGCAAAAATGTTCATCAGAAAGCTCAGAAGTTACTAGAAGGAGTCCAAAAGACAGTGTTCACCTTTTTCAAAAAAAATACCTTAATAATATATGAAAAGTGTTCTCATTGAACTTTGGGTTGGGAAAGATTTTAAAAATGAGGAAGTGGCAAAGAGGGTAAAACAGTTAGCAGAGAGAAAGAAAGGTGATTTCTGGGTTCTCTACCTGGAAGCGGTGCCCAGGGCAGTGATCCAAGCTTGGAAAATGCCAGCAAAAAAGGTGAAAGGGTTTTTCCTGGTCACTAGAAAGTAAATCAAGGGGAGAAAGATGCCCCCATGGATGATAAGGCCCACAATCACGGTGACCATGTACATCCCCAGTTGCCGAGCAACCACTTCTAAGTCCTTGATGGCAATGATCTTCCCACAGATTAAGCAGGCAATACCCAGCGGGGAGTACCTGAAAAACATAAAAGGAAAAGAAAACACCGAAGAAATCATTATGGGATTCAGAACTTACATCTGGGCCTTCCTATGTTGCTGCACCCTGATGTAAACTTTGCATTTGTTCAGAGTTTTGCTGAAAAAGGGCCATGAGACTCAGTAGACGCTACATGTTACTTCAGACTAAATGCATCATCTAAAATCTGGCACATGGACTTGGTGGCTCCTGCTCTGATAAAAAATCCAAAAGCAAACTTTGTTGCTCAGGCAATTTTTTAGGAATAGTACAGACAAGCTTTACCATCTCTTAGGGAAGCACCAATCTTAATATTGAGAGACCACAGGCTACATCTTTGTGAGTCTTGTTTGAGTTGTCTTTCCACAGCTCCTGCCTTGAGACTTGGGAACAAATTTTGAGTTTCTTAGAAAGCTCATTAGAGTTTTGACAAATTATGAACTGGTGTTTGTAAATTTGCTTTGTTTTCACCTTGGAAGATAGGAAATATATTTAAGAGGGAGAAAGAGAGAGAGGGAACACAGAACAAGAAAATCATGAGTCAAACAGTACCTTGAGAGAAATGTGGCTTATCACTTCTAAGTCTGCAAGTATTAAGCAGACAATTCACCCTGTACCAAAGCATCCTATATAAGCTCATTTTAACATCATCATCATCATCATCATCATCATCATCATTATTTTATAGAGCATTTGGGAACAATTTATTGTTGTCCTCACTCTTCAGTAAGCTAATCATGTTCTCTCTCATTTCAAGTGTATTTGTCACATGTTTGGCAACATCCCTTTTTTCTTGCCCAATTTGGGGCTGTTGAAGTTTGAACTTGCTTGAACACCGTCTGACTGAAGGAAATGTTTGTGGAAACGATGCTGTCTTATTAAGAATTATGAGAGCAAGTCTCTGAGGAAAATGAAATCCTGGGATGGGGCTCCCAACCGGAGTAAGGGAGCCAAAAAAGGGAGAGAGCACCTATGCCAGATTCGGGAGGTTGGGTTTTTTGTGTGTTTTGTTTTGTTTTTGTTTTTGTAATTGTGCCTGGGGCAATCCCTTCCCAGGCTAAAGGAAAGCTGTGAGGAATAGAAGAGAATCATATACACAATTACATAAAACACGGGGCTCATCCAGTCACGTACCAGCTGCATGACCTTGCTTAGTGACTCATTCCCATGTTACAGATGTGCCCGTCGAGGCTTAGAGAGACTCCTCCAACCTCCAGGGGTTGCTGGGAGGATTACATTGTGAACACGCACATGTATGCACTGTCAACCATCGTCCCCCATCCCTGCCAGCACCATTACTTCTCTGACGCCTGACACAGGAATCCTTATATGTTCTGTTTCCCTAAACACACCTATGTCCTCTCATCACCCACTCAGCTTACTGAGTCCAGTCTGAGTTACTGAGGCTTTCTAAAACATCTCACAGGCTACTGCCACCCAAGTGTGGATGTTTTTACCAGCAGAAGATTTTCTCAAGAGGAACCTTCTCCTGAAAGAGGTGATTTGTAACTGACTGAATTCGTTAGGACCTTAGCATAGCGACTGCCCTCCTCCCTGACGAGCTGCTACCGGTAACCCCACTTCTCCTTTCCCTGGGGTGGAGGCTGACCATGTGTGAGGGCTGCTTCCGCAGGCATCAGGGGGTCATGTCCTTAAACCCCTGGCTTTCCCGCCATTTTACTGTCATGCCTGTGGTCACAACAGCTCATAGATCAGCGGGGGAAACTCAGAGGCCAGCTCCTTGTTCCCTGAGATTTTAAATAACTGAGCAAAATGTACCTTCCCATAAAGCCAGCAAGCATTTATCTTCATAAACCAAGAGATTCTTTCCAAAGCACCCATCACCTTTTAAAGATGTACCTTTTAAAAACCACACACACACACACACACACACACACACACACACACACACACACAAATACAAGCCGTTTGGGGTGCCATCCAATTTTCCTGCTTTTAAATAACTGAGCAAAATGTACCTTCCCATAAAGCCAGCAAGCATTTATCTTCATAAACCAAGAGATTCTTTCCAAAGCACCCATCACCTTTTAAAGATGTACCTTTTAAAAACCACACACACACACACACACACACACACACTCACACACACACACACAAATACAAGCTGTTTGGGGTGCCATCCAATTTTCCTGTTCCTTGGGGACAATTTGTAGACTGGAGAGAAAGTGTTTTCAAGGCTCTTTGCCAAGCAAGACCAGCTACGGCGTCCCCTGGAGAACACGCCTGAACCAGAGCCAAATGGATTAGAGAGGCAACAGGTTGCCTCGGAGCGCTCCGTTCTCTGGGAAAAACAGGAGTTCGCACTATAAATGGAATGTGTTCAAAGGCCAAAAGGTACAGTGTTAGGAGAAACAAATATGGCAAGCAGGGCTCTAGTTGACCCAACACCTTGAGCTCCGGAACTAGAATGAGCACTAATTAGGACAAGGAAAGAGTCTTTGTTTTATGACACATTTTAGGGCCATTACTTCCCTGTACCTGTTTTTAAAACACGTAGCTGAAGCCTCCACTCAGAATCTGACGCTTTTCAGTTCTTGGGTTTCCATATTAATGAATTATCTCATTGAAAACGACCTGCATGGAAAATAAAGGGCAAATGCCTGGGGTCCAAGGTCACCACTGGAAGCTTCTGAGCCGAAGCAAACAGTCAAAGCCATAAACTAACACGCACGGAGAAGCTGAGGGCTCCAGTGAGTGATCTGAAGCCAACTGATGCCTGGTAATTGTTGGACCAGTTCTTAAATGAGAAGGAAATGACTACAGAGCTCACAGCCCTTAGACTGGTTGTACCTTCGGCTCCGGGCACTGCTTTCAAAGTCATCAGTTCACCCAGGACTGGCCTGTGGAGTCGTTTCCATACTGTTTTATCATCCATTCTTTCCTCTGCCCACTTTGTCCCTCAGTCCTTGTCATCCTATGGTTCCCACCAAGATGCCTCCCTGAGGGTCTGCTCTCTAGTCCACAAACACAAACTCATTCACAGCACCCCACATACCCAGAGCTCAGTCAGTGTCTCTGTGCCTTCACAGACACCTGCTTCAGAATCACCTGGCGTGCCTGGTACCAACATGGATTCCCCAAGCCCATCACATACCTACTGAGTTAGCATTTCCTGGAGCTGGCCTTGGGACACTAACATTTTAAACAAGTTCCCAAGGTAATTCCGACGAGCTTGGAAACCAATGTTTCAAAGAATAAAATCTGATCTGCAACTGAGGTAATGCAGATATTGCTTGGTTAGCCTTTGGAAACCATTTACTTTAGCTTCAGTTTATTCAAGGCCTGTTGGGTCTTAACCCATTAAATTCACTCAGGACTTTCGGGCACAGGGCAGATACTAGGCCAGACACTTGGAGTGGAGGTCAATGGAGTTAAATCTTTAGGAGTTTGCGTTTCAGTGAATAAAAAACTTTCTCCGTCTTGCCATAAAGCCACTCTGGTTCTGTCCCACACATTTCCCACAGCAATGCCAGCCTGCCAGTTTGGAATGGATTTCAAGAGAACACAGAATTGCAGGAGTAGGTCAATAAAGAGTTAAAGATACATTCCAATTACAGGCACTGTCTGTACTCAGGCTCAGGAAAGAACACAGATCTCCAGTTTGCCCACTTAGGGAGAGGTGTTCTGGCTACCCAAGGTGTGCCTTTTGCTGAGTTTTACCATATGTAGGTGAGAACTTTCCATCAGAATGGGATAGACATTCGTTCATAGAGCCTCCAGGCTGCTAACCCTCCGGGGACTGCCTTTGGCAAATGCATAAAAGCTCAACTCATGATGGTGGCCTGTAGGGCCCCGTGGGCTGCCCACCTCTCCAGCTTCACCACCTTCCACCACCACCCCCCTTACCAACCACATTCCAACTATTCCAGACCTTCCTTTTGAATCTCAAAAGTATTTTACTTGCTGTTTGCTCCCCCTGGAAAATTCTCCTCTTGATTCTTATAGAGCTGCTTCTCTCTCAGTCTTCACCAAAAGTCACTTTCCCAGACAGCCCTCCCTGACCCACCTGTGAGAGTTCACTCCTTACTTCCATCCTCCCCATAACTCTCTATCCTATTTCCCAGACTATTGACTTTGTAGCGGTGATTACTATATGAATTTTTGTTTCCTTCCTTTCATTCCCCCCCCTCCCTCTCCTTTCAATAGAATGTAAGCTCCATGGGGGTAGGAATCTTTCTCGGTCTTATTTACCATTATATCAGAAGTGCCCAAAATTCTTGTTGGCATTGAAGACATATTTGTGGAGTGAAAGAACAGATGGATGGATGGATGGATGGATGGATGGATGGATGGGTGGGTGGTGGTGGGTAAACTTAGAGGGATAATTGAAAAGGTGAACAAAGATTTCACTTCTCACTTTATGTTTCTATCATGGTGAGATTATAAAAAGTTCCCGTTTCTGTTTAAGTTTTTAAGATTAAAAAATATTTTAAAGAACTTTGCAAAAAGTGAGGATATGAAAATCACACCAAAATCAAGGGTTTCTCACTCTCTCTCTCTCTTTTCTGAGAATCGGAGATTTTTGCAGGCTTCTTAAAGAATTCATAACAGAGAGAAACAAAGGTTATGATTGAAGTGATGATAGTAATGGGAACCATAATATAACAATAAAAATACTAGTGCATGTGAAGTGCTTAGACAGGTGCCAGCATGGAGAAAAAGCTCAACTATTGGGCGCAACTTCACTTAATTCTTACAGAAATTCTCTGATGTGGATTTTATAATCCATCATTTTGCAGATCAGGAGGTGGGGGCTAGAGTATGTTTAACTTGCCTAACGTCACACAGCTGGTAGTACTAGTAGGAGGAGGACCCTGGATGCCATCCAGCTTGAAGTCAGACAGAAGCTGAGTTAGGTACTACTTCCACGCAGCTCCTATCACTTAGGCTGTGCAACACTGAGCAAGCCAACCTCTTAGTTTTCTCATCCGGAAAATGGGGCTAACTAAAGTACCTATTTTTCTTAGGTATTATTGTAAAAAGTAAATTAGTTAATGCATGTAAAGTACTCGAAATAGTAGTAAGCCTAATTCAGGAATTCGATAAGTCTAGTATGGTTTTAGTAATGATTATAGCTTGGCTGGCATGGCTCAGTGGTTGAATGTTGATCTATGAACCAGGAGGTCACGGTTCGATTCCAGGTCAGGGCACATGCCCGGATTGTGGGCTAGATCCCCACTTGGGGGTGTGCAGGAGGCAGCTGATCCATGATTCTGTCATCATGGATGTTTCAATCTTTCTCTTCCTCTCTGAAATAAATAAAAAGGTATTTAAAAAATAATGGTTATAATAATAATTATTATCTTCTCAGTAATAAATAGGTGCAATACAGTAATTGAAATGGTACAATTGCATATGGCAAGAAGTTAATTACTCCAAGCTATAATTTAATAATTATTAGAATAATAATAATCTCTTCAATGTTAAATTTGCCATTATTACTATTCTTACTGACACATAGAGAAGAATACACTAAGAACTCTGTTTAAGCTTTGAGGGAGTCAGTTAAAGAATGGTTGGCTCTTTTATCCAGAACCTTTTCACACTCTTTGTTATCAACTGCTGACAGGGCAGCTTAAGAATGAAAGAAATGTGCAGCATTGGCCTCTCATATCTTGTAACACCCTCCTGACTGCCTAGATGAGGTAACTAACAGCTGTCAGAAATCATCCCGTAGGTCTTATTCCTGACTCACAATTGCTCTACATCTCCTGGGATATGATGCTAAATCCTTAGGAGTTCTGATTTCAGTGACTAGGAAACTTCTTGATCCACACCACCTCTACCCTGGGGAGAAGAAAGGCTGCATTTTATCCCATGACTCATCTGATTTCCTAGAAGATTCCCTTTCTTTCAGGGGCTCAGTGGAAATGACGTTGGTATAGAATAGATGAAGGAAGGAGCTTTCATACAACACCCACATCGTTGGCATCATAATACAGAGATCTGAATGAACTGCATTTTAAGGGCAAGGATGCTCACTCTGCTGTAAAGTCTAGAAAACAAGAGTTCTATTCTGCTTTATGTAACACCATTTATTAAATTCTCTGTGAGCTCATAATGGATTGAAAAGACTTTAAAAAATGTTTACAGCATCATATTGTGTGTGACTTTAAATCTTCACACGAAAGAAATATTCAGAAACCTAGGATTGCCTGAAGAAGTGGCAGAATCAGTACAATAGAAAACAACACAGTAAAACAATGATCTGAACAAGCCAGGTACATTAAATGTGGTTCATGAGATCACGAAGACCATCTTATGGTCTGAGACCTTGGGGCTTCAGCTAGCCCACTTAGTTCTGAAGTTTTTGTAAGAACTTACTACAGGCACATCAGTGTGTTCCAGTAGGTGGAGATAAAAAAAATCAAGAATAGATTTTTGTCTTTGTAAGATGGGAGCAGGGACCAAGGAAAAGAAGAAGAAAGAAGGTAAAATGTCATGGAACATCACAGAGAAGGGGCAGAGGACCAGAGGGAGGTTGGGGGCGAAGGTGGGTAGGACTGGGACATGAAGAAATGGGGGGGTCGTCACCCAGAATTCCTGTGGCCAATAGAACACATATGTGGTTTGGTCTAATAATGTTTTGTTTCGTTTTTCCTAGTCAGGCAGACAGGACCATCATAAAGGTCTAAAACAAATGCATGTAAAAATCTGTCAGATACGGGACCACTAGAAGGTTCCAGCAACAGAGATGGCACAGCTTCCTTGGTGAAGCAGTAGACACTCATGATCTCCTGGGCTACCCCAAACTTCAGAACATAGACCACAGACACACATGAAACAAAGTGGAAACGTTATTGCTTAGATGATTCAAATGAAAGCACCCCCACCCACTTTCCCATCAATGATTTTTATAGCAATTTGATGAACTCCAGCTCTCCCAGGCTATATAATCTTAGGCAAGTCCATTCACCCCAGTGAGCCTCAGTTTATTTTTCTGTAAAATGGGAATGATAATTCACCTTTGCAGGGTTGTTGGGATTACATCTGATAGGTACTAAGCACCTATCCTGGCTCTTGGCTGATAAAAGAAAATCAATAAATGATAGCTTTTATTATTACCCTCATCATGATGTTAAAGAATCAAAATTTAGTGTATTTAGGCCACAGTCTTCTCTTCTGTAAAATCAGAAGTGGCCAGTTTTCTAAGAGTACTTACAGTTCTAATATATCTTCTGTGATTTCACTTTTGCTTGCTTGGTCTGAGAACTGCCTCTTTTTTCTTCTATTTGATTCATGAGTAACTGGGTCAAAGATGCACTGCTTTCGGACATGAGGATACTGGGGCAGTGGGTCATGCCATATCCCTGGTATCTTGGGCTTATTTTAATTTCCTGATACTGCTCAGCTTCAGTATTACTGATTGGTTTTTCCAGCTTATCTCTCTCTCTCTCTCTCTCTCTCTTTTATTTTCCTCTTCCAGGACAGGGATCAGCAAACTCTTTATGGAAAGGGCTAAATAGTAAATATTTCAGATTTTGCAGGCTACCCAGTCTTGGTCAGGACTACTCAGCTCTGCCAGTTAGCACAATAGCAACCTTAGATAATATGCAAATAAGCAGGTGTGGCTGTATGGCACTGCTTGTCAATTCATATAATGTCCATGCATTGTAGAATATTATTACTCTTGATTTTCCCCCCCAAACAAAATAAATACACAACACCCATTCTCAACTAGCAGGCCCTACAAAATAAATGGCAGATAGAATTTGGCCCATGGGCTATTTTTTTAAAAAAAGATTTGCATCTCTTTCTCAAAGTCCTTCCAGAGAGCCCTTGCTTGGTCCACACCCAACCCAATCTTTCCTGCTGGGAGGACTCTCATATTTTCTGGGGACCCCAAGACGTCCTCACCCCCACAATAAAGAAGAACAATCCTACTCACCACATGATCATAATCACTAACTTCATCACAATCTCATTCAAGATGCTGAAGAATTCCACCATCAGCTTGGCCTGCTCGCCCATCTTCCCCATGGCGATGCCGAAAGCAATGAAAAACCCTATCAGACCTGTTGGATGAATCACATTGCACAGGACACAACATTATTAAGTCTGTGTTGCTTCTTGCGTGTCCTTTACCATCCCTGATGTATGGAGCCACATGCTCATGCCTGCGACCCACCCTGTGAATGAGGCACAAAAAGACAAAAGCGTTAGATGTCAAAAGCATTTGTCATACCTTCCCCCAATAATGATGGCTTCCCTCAACACTGAACCTGAGCCAGTTGAATTATCCGCAGTGTAAGCTCCTTAAAGAGAATGAATTTATTTTCATTCCAAATTAAAAAGTACTCTCTACTTTCTCCTCCTCACTCACGGCATAATGTGTAAGCAGATTTTATTAGTCCATTAGATGAATTGAAAAAAAAAATGGTTTGTTGGGACTTGGGGATTAGCATGCAAACTTTGGAGCCAATATGAGAATAGCAGAGACCAATTAGCCAATAAAGCCTCTGCTAGGGTCATGTCTATATTGGTTTGGTGTTATCCCAAATTAATGCATGGCTGATATGTTCCACTCTAGGAAAATCCTAAACAAAACATTACTTTTCTACGGCTACTGCCTAATGTAAGAAGGAAGAGGAATGTTGAGAAATCAAATGGAAAGCAAAGAGAAATCCAAAACAGTTGGGAAACCCCAACTGACCTAGTTTGTTGGGTTTAAGCTGTTAGTTATTAATTCATCATATTTTTTTTTCATGGTCAAAATGATAAGAATGCTTTTTAAAATTGTATTTTTTTCCGGATCTTAAAGACAGAGTTTAGATTTTGTTACTAGCCCCTCAGCCCTTCTCCCTTCACTTGATATCAGTTGACTTACATCTAAGTCCAGCCCCACTTCAGCGTCTGGCGTCAATCTTAACACCCCCACCAGCGGATTTGAGGAGCTCCATCCCCGTCTCTTAATGTTAGCATCAAATTGCAGTAAGGCCTGGACCAACTCCTACACCAACCTTGGGCCTTATCTCTGTGTTAGTTTTTGCCTCATTCCCTGTGCCTGAGTTTTTAGTGCTAGGAACCTACCCAATACACTAGTTCCTATAAGGCCTGGCTTTTTTCTCCTCACCAACCGCCTGTCTGGCCTGGAGTCGCACTCAGGTCGCCCTGGGGTGGGGTGCACTACATGACTAACAAATGTCCCCATGACTGCCTGGGGACTGTCTGGATTTCTGATTGCCAATGTGCCCACCAATCCCCCTCTTGGCCCAGTATTGCTCTTCTTGGGGCTCCATTTCTGACAACTTGCAAGGACTATAAATCAATGTTGCTGTCCCCTGACTACAGGATCTTGCTGCCCATCTGACTTTCCTCTCTGATGCGCAGTATGGGCCAGCCTCTCTCCCCTCTCTCTTCCCCCTCTTCCCCACCCCTAACCTGTGCCAGTTTGGCAGGCCTAACTTCCAGTCCCTCCCTCTGAGAGCCAGTTTCCTATGGTGACCAGTTATTGATAAAGTCTTGAGCTATATCAGGGAAATTGTAATACAATCCGGTCATCTGATTCTTAGAGAGGAATTCTTTCTCTGAAACTCTGATTTCACCCTTTCCCTAGTCACCAAATCCACTTACCACCCCAACCAAGCACATATCAAGCCAGATTACTCAGCTGCCCTTCACTGGACCCTCTCTATCTTCAGCAAAAAGAATCCAGTACTTGCACTCGGGTTGTTAATCCTCCACATTTAGAATTTCCCCTTTTCAGCTCTTGGCCAAGAAGATTGACAAAGTGAGTTACAAGGGCGTTACCGGCCATGAAGGCAACGGCTCAATGAGAATTAGATCCAGGAGAGGGTGGCCTAACTCAGCAGCAATGTATGAGATCGAACCCAGACTATCCTCAGGCCCTTCTCTTGAGCCCATGGAGAGGAGTTTGTGAGGTGCGTGTAATCTGAACATTCTGGCCGAGAGCAGCAGCTACTATTACTTGGTTAATCTCATTTGGAAAATTCAAGAGAAAATGAGCAAGATCTCAAAGTCCCAAAGAACTGGAATTAAATAGTTCCCCTTGCAGCGTCAGCAGAAACTGGCCGTATCCATGAGTACGAGAGAGGGCTGTGTAAAGGAGCGATCAGTGGGCCATGGCGTGGCCGAGCAGCCTAAGGCACTGGATTAAAGGAGCATTCTCCCGCAGGCCATTTAAGCAGTTGGGATTCGTGTGCAGCCCAGAAGTGCTCTGGAGGTCTTCTGGGAAAGAAATGAATCTTTTAAAAAGTGTGAGGCCAGAGCCAGGGTTTTATCTTTATTTATTGCAATGCTTGATCCTTGGGACTTTCCAAAGCCAAAACAAAACACAAAGAAATTCACCATCTCCGCCTTTGGAAAACATGGAAAGAACTGTTATTTCAGCCGTGATTTGTAAATGGGAAGTTTCTCAGCAGCCTAACGGTCCTTGGCTTTCCAGAACCTCGAAGGGCAGTCGATAGCCCTGTCCAGCTCGTTATTTCCCTCTGGAAACACTGACTCACTGGACTCACTCTGGAACAGTGGTATTTCACTTGAACAGAGCCCTCTCAGACTTGGTCACTGGGATTGAGAGAGTAGTGAGTTGTGTTGAAACTCCCCAGTAGTTAAAGGTTGCGTGACTTCCCAGAATCCACCGAGACTCTGGAAAAGACCTTGAAAGTTTCCTGAATGATTCACTCCAAAGCCCTGGAATTACTCATGGCTTCAACTTCCTCCAGGAAGACTGTGGAGCCATGTTGACCACTGGGTTGGGGAAAGCAAGGGTAGTTGGGAAGGCCCTGACATAGTCACAGCTATCTGGGCAGTGGGAGACATGTGTTACTCAGGGGTGGATGCTGGGGACATTTGCAAACCCTCCTTCTCAGAGGACTGTTCCACTCTCTCCTCTCTCCTTCCTCCTTTTTCTCACACTGATGTCAACAGTGTTTGTTTATCTTCCATTGCCTGGCAACCAAGTCAGCTTATCACCACCCTCAGTCCCACTTACTCAACACTTACCCAACCTGCTTCCTGACAGGCCAAAGAAAAAAAAAAAAGGAAAAGAAAAAAAATCCCTACTGACATTTCTGCTTTTCAGTAGCTGGACAATCCCACCTCTTCTCCCCCCCACCTCTGCGGACCATTCTGGATAAACAGGAGTAGGGTTATCAAATTTAAAATAAACAAACAGGTTACCTAGTTAAAATTTGAATTTCAGATCAATACATGAAAAAAATTAATTGATTTTAGAGAGAGAGGAAGGGAGAGGGAGAGAGAGAGAAACATTGACCCACTGCCTCCTGCACGCTCCCTACTGGGGACTGAGTCAGCAACCTAGGCATGTGCCCTGACTGGAGATATACAACGACCTTCTGGTGCATGGGACAACATTCAACCAACTGAGCTACACTGACCAAGGCAAAAAAAATTTTTTTAAAAAAATATCAGTATGTCTCATGTAATATTTGGACCATTCACTAAAAAAATATTTGTTGTTTATCTGAAATTCACACTTAACTGGGCATTCTGTATTTTATCTGACAAGCCTACTAAAGAGATGAGGGTATTCAATCTCCTAGATGGCCAAGTGGAAGGACCACTGAGCGCTCCCTAAACAACTCTCCCTCGAATCCTTAGAAGTCTTGCTTGCATGGATCAACATACTTCCTCCGCCCAGATTCCCCATTTCCCCAGTCTGTGGCCAATGTCCCCCTTTCTTGTCTTGGAGACGCCATGCTAATAGTGGATGGGGATTAGGTAGGGACCCCGGGGGAATAAGTGAGCAAACCGGAGTCACTCACATTATAGGGAACTCTCTCCTCTGTGGAGGGTGTTTCCTTATTGAACTGGTTCCTCAGCTCACCTTTAATAATGATGGTAGCGCACATGAATGAAGTCCATGGCATGTACAATTGTGTTCTACACGCACAATCTCATTGAACCTTCATAATGATCTGCAAGGGAAATGCCCATCCCATCCCCACTTTACCAATGAAGCTTGAGAAGCGAGACAACTGCCTATGGTCAGGCAACCAGTGAGTGGTCCATAAGGGACCCAAACCCAGTCTGTCCAACTACAGAGGCCAAGAACCTCTAGGATGGAGTACGAAGAAGGCTCCGGGCTAGGGGAAAGGGCTCATTAGAATTCCAGAAAGTTAAACAAGTTAGTCTCCTTTTGATAAACTTCTCTTGACACCAACACTTTGTATTCCTGATAGCACTGCATTTGTTTACAGACGGAGAGAGCTGGGGTGGACATCCCCCATGCCTAGCACGGTACTGGTATACAGGGGCAATTCAAACAAAAATGCTTAAGAAATGAAAGAATTGGATGTGTAACTGCATGAAATGGAGAGTCAGAGAAAGTGACTTGCCCACACCACGCAGAAAGTCAGGGATCGTATCCAGTGCGTGTTTATCCTGTGTCTTTCCCCATCCCTGACCTCTACTCATCATGCCTCCTCCTGGTACTGTGGCTGCCCATCTCCCGCTTCCTGATCCCTCTGCTCTCAGCCCCAGTGGTCCTCCAACCACCCTCCAGCTCCACCTAGCGGACAGCAGAGTCATTGGTCCCTGAGGAGGGAGTGAGGGCTGCTGGGCTGCTGAGATGCAGGAGAGGCTGGCCATTGTCTCTGAGGCAGGCATGCCTTCCCCGGGGAGATGAATACCAGGTTGCCTACCTAAGACATTCATGCCGTCCTTGAACTCCAGACCCTTCTTGATAACCACCTTCATTTCCTCTGGTGCCTCTGTCGCAGTCTGGGTCAGCAGGGAGACGACAGAGGTGGTGACATTGCTCTCCTCTTCAGACTCAGGCGCCTCCAGGACTTTCTTCGTCACCGTTTGAATCTAACGGAGTGAAAGAGAAAAACACAGAGGGATGAGGTTTGATCTAAAAGGTTACCAGAAGCCTGGCTGCTTATGTGTTAAATTTTAAGTTCCCCGTTAGGCTAAAAAACAATTAGGAAGTACCAAAACAAGGTTATGAAAACTAGGGAACGTTTTATATTTGTGTTTAAAAGAGTTTTGTTTTGTTTTGTTTTAACATACTAGAGGCCTGATGCACGAAATTCATGCAGGAGGCTCAGTCCTTGCAGCCCCTTGCAGCCTTGGCCAGCCCTCGCAGTCCTGGCTTCTTCTGGAAGGTTGCCTGGAAGGACATCCGGAAGGTCATTCGGCTGTTCGGTCTAATTAGCATATTAGCTCTTTATTATATAGGATGGTGGGATACGACTGTCCTCGTCACATGATAATTACAGGGCTTATAACACGCTTTGGTACCATGCTACAGACAGAAGGCTTTAGTGATGGGACATGAGCTTCAAGTGTGTGTCGGGGGCCGGGGGAGTCTGCTTCTTTTATTCTGGTGATTGCAGCTCTGTCCCTCAGCACAAGGTCAAATGTCCCGCACGGACATTCTTCATAACTGTGAGGCCCTGTTGGATGACCCTCCCAGTCCCTCATGAGGGAACCTGGTCGAGAAGAGGAGGTCAGGGTCTTGGCGGGAGGTAGACCAGCACCACGTGATCTGCCTGTTTAGCTCCTTCCTGCCTGGCTTCCGTGGGACAAAATCTGCACAGACCAACTCGTGTGGGTCCGCCCAGGGCCAGGCTCTGCTGGGATCTCCATCTGGGTGCCAGATGTGCCAGCCGCCAGCAGCCACCACGGCAGGGGTGTTGGCTTGTATTTCAGATCCAGATGTAAGGTGGGGAGACATCTGCTCCTTCTAGCTAGTGATGCCAAGCCTTACTCGGTGTCCCCAAGCATCTCTGTGCAAATGGCCTCCCAAGAACCTCTCATGCTATTCCTCGATGTCTGTGGCAGCCGTCCTATTTTTAAAGGTGCCAGTGCTGTGAAAACCCACATCTGAGCCCAGAGAAACACTACCGCCGGGAGCACTAAAATAGAACTCATGCGGGGTCCTAGAATGTCAGCACCGGCATGTAGAAGGCAACAGATGGCTGAACCCCGAATAGATATGGAAAAGGAAGCATGGAGAACTCAAGTGATTCAATTCCCGGTCAGGGCACATGCCCAGGCTGTGGGTTTGAATCCCCAGGAGGAGGTACGCAGGAGACTGCTGATCAATGATTCTCTATCATTGATGTTTCTATCTTTCCCTTTCCTTCCTCTCTGAAATCAATAAAAGCATTAAAAAAAAAAAAGACAGAACTCCATGAGCATCCATGACCAACAGAGCCATGCTCCCAGGAACAAAAGGACCACAGGAGCCAACTACAGACCTATCCTGAGATACTAAAGCAACACGGCTTGAGTTCAAAGCAAGTGACTTCATCTTCTAAGCAGCTGGCTCAGCACATTACACAGAGAGAGTGCCAGTAAGCACCCCTTCCTTAGCCTGTTTCCATCCGCTCCCCATCTGGCTTCCCCAGCCTGGAATGGCTCCTGTTAGTATAGCTCCTTGTTATAAGTGGCACCAAAGTGGCATCGGGAGTCGGAGGACCTATCCCAAGCCAGAGTAATGGAGGCTCAGCAGTGGCTGGCAATTGGATTTTGGGGGCAGCTGGGAATACGGGCTTTTCCTCTGAGTGACCTATTTCCTAAGGCCATTCTTCTGTGATTCCCTGGAAATGGCTGGAGGAAGCTTCTTGCTTCTAGTTTAGTTTCCACTGGAGCTGATGGGAACTGAAGTGTATTCCAGCCTGAACTGGCCTTGGGGCCAGACAGCAGGCTGGTGAGTGGGCACCAGGCAGCTATTTCAGTGGTGCCACTCAGCAGAATCATCTGTTTTTAAGAATCACAGTTTTAAAAATAGATGTGCCTATTGGCAGTTGGTAGAAGTATACATCACTGCAAACTTGTGGAGGGCCGTTTTGCAACACCAAGCAAATTCAAAATATAAAACTCTTTGGCAGGACATTTTCATTTCTAGGAATTTATCCTTTAGAAATACTATGCAATCATGACAAAAGGGAGCAGGTGAGAGAGAGAGAGAGAGGGGGGAAGAGAAAGAGGGAGACAGAGAATGCTAAAACATTTTTAAATGAAAAGGCAAAAGCAATATGTATAATGCAGTAGCACTTGGGTGGAATTAAATTTTAAACATTAGCCCTGGCTAGTGTGGCTCAATAACAGAGCATCGACCCAAGAACCAAAGGGTCTTAGATTTTATTTCTGGCCAAGGTTAAGGGCACGTACCTGGGTTGCAGACTCATTTCCCACCCTGTCCGGGGTGGGTGAGGGAGGTAACCAATCGATGTGTCTCTCTCACATAGATGTTTCTTTCTCTGTCTCTCTCTCTCCCTCTCCCTCCTTCCCATGCTCTCTAAAAATCAATGGAAAAATATCATTGGTGAGGATTAATTTTAAAAAATTATACACACATGCATTTTACACATACACACACAAACTCTACATGAGTAGCTCTATGGAAGGGAAGTGAAGACTTGCATTTTTACTTTATTTACATCTATACAATTTAAACTTTTCACAATTCTCATGTGTTACTTCCACAGTTTAAAAAATACCCCATTCCCAGGTTTTGATTCCGTTAAGATATGCATTTTTTAAATACACCGCATGTGGGTTGGCTATACTGCCAAGATCAAGAACCAGAGGGAACTCTAGAGGGTTGTGGGCAAAGGTGATAAAAATGTGCCCATGGATAATGCAGAGACGGGAACAAAAAAGAAAGAAAGGAGAAAAAAAAGGAGAAGTGGTATTGTGAGGTTAAAAAAAAAATAAGGCAGGGAGGTTAAAAAATCCACGTGACTCCAACCCCCAAATCCTGCCCCAGATCACCTCACACACCCCTAAAACAGAGATAATTAAATGCTAAGAAATTCACTCTCCAGATTTGATTCATTAAAACAGATTCTCAGTTAGCACCTGTGTAACTGGGCTTGTGGGGAGGCGAGAACATCAGAACTTGGGCGTTACCTGTTGAAAACAGGCTTGGACAAGATTTTCCGGGAAGAGATTTCGAATAAGGTCCAGAAAGGCATCCAGGCTGGACACTTCGTCGTTCTTCTTCCCAGGCCCCAGCTGCTTCTTAAGTTTGGGGTTCCCTGGGTGGATAGCCAAGACCAAGATGACGCCCAGGACGGCGGCGATGATGGTGGTGGACATGTAATACACCATGGCTCTCGTGCCCAGGCGCCCACTGGCTTTAGCATCCAGGCCTGACAACCCTGGATTGGAAATAAACCCAGAGGATTAATTTTGTGATGTTTCTGATAACTACCCATCTCTGCATACCTAGAACGTGGCTTCCTATTATTCAAATGCATCGATGCTAAGTTAAACCTCTTTCTACTAGCTAGCTGGTCAACCCCACAGTTTGCAATTCCGTTCTGCAAGGATGTGTTTGACAGAACTGGGGAGAGCTGGAGACCTCTGGTCCAGAGTGTAAACACTGGCTGGTGACTAATTTTATCCATCTGCAATGTGGAGTTCAAATTGAATCATTCGAGTTTTAATTCTGAGATGATGTCCTTCCCACTGATTTGGTGTCAAAATATCCTTTCTTTTACGAAGGCATGGTGCTGGTGCATGCTAGTTTTTGACTTGCTTTCTTTGTTGTTGTTGCTTTTAAGGTCCTCACGTGGGAAAATAGGAAGCTGGTAGCCCTATGTCAAGCCTCAACATTTTTTGCTATGTTACTGGTCATTGAAATGGAGCCGGAATACTGATGTAGCACAGCCCTCTTCCAGTCTCAACCTTGTGTAAGCATCGAAGGACACATGCATAAGCCACCCCAAAAGAGGGGTGCTTCATCTCTACTGGGCTTGGCTCTGTGATTGTTGGAGGAAATCCCAGCCAGTCACAAAAATTCCAGCCTTCATGGGTATTTTCCAGTTGTTTCTTTAGTTTTTCTACTTCTCAGTTTCAGTTCCTGCTTTTATGACACAGAGAGTGCACCCATTTTTGGAGTGGGGAGGAAGTCATTGATGTTAACTTTTTTGGATTAAGCCGACCCACCTATGACCCACTTCTCCTTACAACCTACTGTCTAATTCTAGTTAATGGAAGCTAGATATCCTCACCAGGTTGGCCAGCGTACAATCTGTTAAACAGGCATGGAGAACATTTTGTCTGTTTTGGAAAGGAGCATTTAAGGTGAAAGCACAGCTTCACTCAATCTGGGCTGAATGAAATGATAAGATTTTCTGGAAACCCAATCCCAGCATTTCCAGTTACGGGGCTCACTGGTCGACCAGCTATGAGACCGTAGAACAGCCTGGCTTAGTCTCGGAATCTCCTGGAATGACCAGAGCCCCACTTTCTTCACAAGGTGGACAGTCCAGAGGGATGACTCTCTTAAGGCCACCCAGCCTGTTGGCACCTAAATATAGACCAAAGCCCAGTCTCACCCTTCACTCAGCACGTAGTCTCTAAACTATAACAATATATGTACTGCTCTAGGAATATCATTTGGTAAGAAGGAGAGTACCCGTATAAGTCCATGGAGAGAAAAAGATTCTTTCATAATTTTTTTCAGCCAAAACAAGTGACCATGATATACATAAGGGTAACTTTGTTCTAAAAAAGTCAAACAGCTTGTATATCTAGTATTTCATTTATTTTAACACTTGTTTCCCTCTACACACAATTAAGTAGTAAAGAAATGTTTCCTTTCCTATTTATTACCTTTATCAGTTTCTGAACAAACTATAATCTAGAAAATGAGAAAAGTATACATTAAAAATTGAAAGCACTACAGATACCATCATTTTTAATTACTTTTTTTAAAAATATATTTTATTGATTTTTTACAGAGAGGAAGGGAGAGAGACAGAGAGCCAGAAACATCGATGAGAGAGAAACATCGATCAGCTGCCTCCTGCACATCTCCCACTGGGGAAGTGCCCGCAACCCAGGTACATGCCCTTGACCGGAATCGAACCTGGGACCCTCCAGTCCGCAGGCCGACGCTCTATCCACTGAGCCAAACCGGCTTCGACAGATACCATCATTTTTAACATAAGGCTATTGTTTTAATCATTTGTTGCTGGACAGATGGATGGACTGACCAATAGACGGCAAACTTATTTTAGGGCTGATTGTCCCCATTTTAGAGACAAGAAAACAAAGGCTCTAAAGTGAAATGACTTAGATGATCACATTCATCCCTTCAAGTAAATTGATATTCAATGGTCAACCCAAAAGCCAGAGCAAGAGTAGGACCCACTTGGCCAGGCACCAGAGAAGGACTTACCTGTGATTAAACTGGAGATGATTAGAGGGAGAATGAGCATTTTTAGCATCCTCATGAGTATATCCCCTGGGAAGGCTATTAACATAACCACATCAGGGTGGATAGGAGATGCCAAGCGAAGAAGCCCTCCACATACTGCCCCCAGGATGACACCTATAAGGAAGGGGGGAAATCTGGATTTATTATTGTTTTTTACTCTAGTCAAATAAATAGCTTTAAGAACTTGTTTCAGTGACATTCACCTTTCTCATACTTCTCTATTATCAGATAATGAATAGCATGCAACAAAAATACCACTAGATAAGTGAAGCAGATGTTGATTAGTAGGAGAATATTTTGTATCTCCAGCTATTCTAAAAGGCAGCTCTGGGAGAGTCAAGGAGAGCGTTCTCAAGGCTTTATGGGAAGTATGCCATGGCAACTGGACTCCAACATTTTTGAGGCCATCATCCACGTGTAGAGTCAGAGATTGTCAGCAGAAACAATCCAAGTGCCAGATATTGCTTCTCCTTTCAGCCCAGGCCTGGCCACATGGCATGGAGTTTAATGTATTTCTTTCCTTTTTTAACTGGATACCTGGTAAAAGGAGCATTTAATTGACTGATGTGAGTTTCCTTTTTTCTTCTAATTCCTTTAATTTCCAATAATTTCCCCGTGGCTTACCCTCGAGACTTTTGTCCTTGACTTCTATAGCCTCTTATGTAATCATTGGACTTGCTGCTCTTATGGGAGATCAAGGAGGGTCTCTAAAAAGGTATCATCTGGGAAGAAACAATTGGGGCAGAGATGCTGGCAGGAGCCTTTCGTTTTGCATATTCAGGGATTCCACAAGAAGAGCTTCAGATCTCTCCAGACAGGCGGCCAACATAAACAGTCCTTGTGCCAACCACCATTGGGTCATAGCACCACAGGGTGGGAGTGAGGGAGGGAGTCCCAGGATCTTTGGCCAATCGTGTTAACCCCTGGCATGCAAAGGGAGGGACATGGCCCACAGCCCGATCTTTGCTTCTTCTCCAGGTGAAAACTGTACTTCTTCAAGGCCTATGATGAACGACTTGTGCTTTTGTGGAGGGTAACCCTTGGAAAACCCTACCAGGCCTGCGGTTTCCTTTTACTGAGTGAACTGAGCTATGGCAAACTCCCACTCAAGATGACTGACTCAAAGCAGGAGCCATGGAATGAAGGGTGTGCGTCTGTGTGGGGGGGTGGAGAGGTGAGCTGTTCATTGCTTCTGTGTGCTGCCTAAGTGAGAGCTGAAGAACAAGGGAGGGATCAGGAAAGGAAATGGTGTGGCTGTCATTACAAGAAACTACAATTTACCACATTTTCAATAAACCCTGGTTGAAAACCTAAGGCCAAAATGATATTAACAGTCACACATGAAAAAACAACTATGGCGTGGGTGAGGCCTGAAGCAGGGGAATAAGACTTTTGAGACAGACCAGAAGCAGATTGAAGCATCAGACAAGCCTTCCGCATGCTGGCCTCATTAGCCTATGTGCTGAACTAACGTAAGTCAGTGAAATGTGTGGAGAAGGTTAGATTTTGGATGCCGTCTTAGTGGTCGCCTTTGTCTTGATATGGGTATTTCTCTCAATGCAGTTCACTGACCACCTGCTTTGGAATCCTGGTTTGTTAAGATACAGAGTCCAGGACTTACTCCAGGTGGCCCAAAGCCAAGTCTCCCAAGTAGGTGTCCCTGGGGACCTGCATGCCGCCACACTCAGGGGCAGTGTCTGGGCATACTGAGATCTGAGGACCACGAGGCTACCTAAGAGCGGACACGTGGTTAGGGCAGGTGAGGGGGACGGTGACACCACTGAGGCCTGGGCAAACGGGGCCTTTGCAGAGCAGTCGGAGGGCTGGCTGCAGGAACCAGCTTCCCCACGGAGCCAGGAGAGAGCCAGAGAAGAGGGGTCGGTGGGGAGGCGCCTGCCACCTACCCAACACCGTCAGAGTGAGCAGTAGGTTCTTCCCCAGCTTGCTGCACAGCCGCAGCCCCAGGTTCCGGTGCTTGGGCGGCTCCTCCGAGCTGAGGTGGCTGTGGGGCATCCGCACTTCCACCTGCTTGGGCATGTTGTTGGCACTACAATAGAAATGAAGGCTGTGGTTAGGGACAGCTGGGCACCTCCCCTATCCCGTCGGAGGGGCACAGCTAGGAGGAGGAGTAACGGCCTCCCCCAGGCACACCTGGGAATCTGGAAACATTGGCAAGAAAATAAAAACAAAGGAAGCCACTCAGGGTACCCTGAATTCCAGTTCACCAATAACCAGGACACTAGGTCCCACCGAACAGCTACCTGCCAGGTGCTTTTGTCCCTATTACCTTGGATCATCACCGCAAAGAAAAGAAAGGCCAGAAGAGAGAGAGAAAGAGAGAGGGAGAGAGAGAAACATCGATGTGAGAGTATAACATCAATTGGCTGCCTCCTGCATGCCCCCTAGCAGGGATTGAGCCCGTAACCCAGACATGTGCCCTGATGGGGAATCCAACCAGCAACCTTTTGGTGCGTGAGACAATGCCCAACCAACTGAGCCACACCGGCCAGGGCAAGATGAGGGTTTTCTAAGAACTGCCCACCCTGTAACTCTCAGAGGCAAGTGTCCCTGTCCCATTTGACAGAAAGTCACTTGCCCAGGGTCACAGGCTAAAAGAAATGGAGATCAAACCCAGATATGTCATTGGCAGGAACACAGAAGTGAAGGCCACGGTTAGAGACCGCTGGGCAGAAGGGATGAGCTCTAAAACCTGAAGCTCCAAAGTGCAGAGAGGCACAGCCTAAGTCTCACTAAATTAAAATGCCTCTGAGCTCAAGCCTTTCCATCCCAGACACAGAGAAGTCATCCATGATGGTAGTCCAAGTTTTGTCTCTCTTTCTGAAAAGATGGCTTATCCAGTTTTTTAAAAATTTAATCCTTTTTGGTTTTTAAAAGATCATTCAAATGACCAGGGCTCTGCTAAGCTGTCCAAGAGTCAATACCACTCAACGGCAAAGAAGGGTGGTCAGAAGAAGCATGTGATCACCTTCGTCCCTGGATGCCGCCCAGCCCCTTTCCAGATAAACCCCAGTGAGCCCAGGCTGTGCTGGAGTCTGCAATGGAGTCCTTGCCAGGAGAACGCGCATGCTGCCTCTTCCCCCAGCTCTGTCATTTCCCAGGCCAATGAGATTTAAGCTTGAGGATTGACATACGGAGGCCACATTTTTACTTTGACAACTTGGGACACTTTTGTTAGCTGCCATCTTGCAATCGCCATCATTTGATAAAAGAAAAAATAGTCTTTAACATCTAGAAAGACAGGCTGAAGTCTCTGGTTACATGACAGAGCCTTGCAATCACTGGTTATAATGGAGATAGCATGGGTTTTACCATCACAGAACCTGGGTTTCAGATCTGGACTCCATTATCTGCTAGCTGTGCGGTGTGTAGAAACAAGGGCTCGCTGCCAACCTTGTGGAAATAAACATGATTGTGTATGGCAGAGGCCTGGCACGTGACACAGGTGGCTCCTTTCTCCAGAGAATATGAAGAAGAGACACATAATACTACTGAAGTTCATGACAATGGTGACATTTAACTCAGGGATCTACCCAGGTGCACCACCATTCCAATAAGACACCACACTTAGCTTCTAGTCTCAGAGTTAAGGCCAGGGACCCAAATACAACTACGTACTTACTTTTACATAACAGTCTGCTTAATATATTTGCTAACAAAATGCTTTACAATTTGAAATAATGTTGCATGGTCTGGTAGAACACCCAGATGAAATTATTAGTCAAAATATAAGCTTCTTACTGTTTCCTCAATGCCCTAATTTTCTACTCATTTAGTTAGTTTTTGTGCAACCTCTGACTTTCTAACATATGTGCGTGCTAATCTAATGATCACTCAGACCATTTAAAGAAGAAAATAGGACACGGCTGCTCACAGCAAGCAGGTGAGGTCCTTTCTGAGCAGCGAGCAAAAATACCACTTCCTCTCAGCACCCAGTGAAACACACAGGAAAGTTCTTGTTACAACACAGCAGGGGGAAATGATCAAAATGGTCTTTTCAACGTGGCTAGACCATATTTTGATGTTTGCATTGGGATCTTTTAATACATTTAAACATTTTTCCAGCCAGTAATCTGAAGCTCTAAACCAGAAAATTGGCAACAAAGAATAGCGGTCATATGTGTTCGGAAATGGTGACTATTCCATTAGCCAGCCCTTGGCTAAACCATGTGAGCCCCTCGAGGGTGTCATCCCGCCTTTTGCTTCCATGGAATCCCTCCTGCCATTGCAGCTAGAATCAGGCACACGGTTGGTACTGGTAAGACCAATAGGTACTTAAAGCAAACATTCTGGCGAGATCCATCTGATGCAATGAGAGTGTCAAGCATCAAAACAGCCACGTCGACTTGAAAACACGCACATGTTAGGTTAACATACACACCCAACCCAGCAATGTGGTTGGATGCCTGTTGCACACAGCTCTTAGCTGCACAAAATTGCTGCGTGTTTAATGGCGTGTTTCTTAGGCCATGACAAAATGTCCCCAAAGCCCCGAATCAAAACAGCCACATCAAAGTGGCAACATCAAAATGCTAAAACCCACAAGTATTTATTGAGAGAGTTAAACAACTGTTCCAAGTCGATCAGAGCTCCTAACTTCTGCAAATAGAAATATAATTTTTAAAGTACATCAAGGCTCCAGCTTGCATCTGAGGACACAGGGAGCCCCCTGAGAACTCTCTGGAAAGGTTCGATACAGTCTAAGTAATCACTGCATCCCCAGAACCCCTGAACTGGGGAAGATGATATAGTTTTTAAAATGAGATTACACACATACAGAGCTATTTGATTGCTGGTTAGCGAATATGCATAGCAACAATGGCAATAAGAAGGATAACGGTATGTATTGTGTACTCTGCGTCAGACGCTCTACTCGGTAATGAGTAAGGGGCAATCTTGCTCTTAAGGAAAGACAGAAAGTGCATTGCACCTTACTGGTCTGCTTCACATATGGGCCATGATAAAGGTCTGCCCAGGATACTATGGAAAATGGTAAGAACGGTACCTAACCTAGCTGTAGAGAAGAGGAAGAGTGTTCTAGAATGGTCTCCAGGAGCTGCTGATGCTGAGTTGGGTCTTAAAGCATGGATTGGATTTAAATGTCTACATCCTCCACCAAGCTGTGGACTCTGGGAGGACAGGACTGTGATCTTTAACACCTGGGACCAAGTGTTTGATAAATGTTTGCTCAAAGCAAATAAGACCCGGGAAGCAGCTATGAAGGACACCTTGCTCTCCCTGGAGCGAGGCTCTTCCAGTAGACTGAGCTACCACCGCAGCGAGCCTCGTACCTTCTTGCCTTTGTTCCACAAATTTCCACTGGGCACCTATTACAGGCCCCAAGCTGTTCTAGGAGCCCAGGATATCGCAAATCAACAAAACAGACAAAGCCCTTGCTCTCACAGGGTGTACGCTTTGGAAGAACAAATACACGGATAAATGCATGTCAAGTGGAGACTGCTGGCAGGAGAGGACCTGTGGGGCGAAGGCGGAGGTTCCGGCATCAGGGGCCAAGGAAGGCATCGAGGATAAGGAGGCATCTGAACAGAAACCTGGAGCGAGTGAGGGGTCTCCTAGTTAACTGTGCAATGTATCCAGAGCTTAGCAAATACATGCGATACACACAGTTTGGAAATCTGTAGTACATTCAAACTAGAGCCCAAAGCTCCCACCAGATGTGACTCCTGGTGTCCATGTGCTGGTTTTGAGCACTGACTCAAATGAGTGACAAATTAGTCATGCGAGGCTCTATTACCACCATGAATATGATGGGCTTTCAACGACTCTCCTAGCTCCCAGAGGAAGAAAACCAGTCCCAGGGAGGGGAGAGCTGGACATACAGGCAGGGGAGCTGAGGTCACAGTGGCCTGCAGTTTGCTTCCCTGGCGAAGAACAGAAAGGGCAGGAGCTGGACGGGGTAAGTCCACTGGGTAAACACAATAATTATTTCAAGTGAGCACACTTACCCCTTATGAATACTCCCTTCCTGTGGCTGTGCAGACCGATCCCAACACTAAGAACCTGGCAAGTCCAGGGGTGGCTTGGTTAGACCAAATTCACTGAGCCTGATGTGTCCCAACACCATGCACCATCTCTGTTTCCATTTGAGTGTCCTCTGGATGGAAGATTTTGCAATGCAATTCCTAAGCAGTGGAAGTTTCTGTAACCCAGCACTGTCAGATCTCTCTCCATTGCCTGGCAAAGTAAGGCCATGTGATGAGACAGTTGTTTGGATAATTAGAAACTTGAACAATGAGCCTATAATTTCCTTCAGCCATAACTTCTCCATTAAAAGATTTAAACAGCTGTTAATTTTGCAGTGGCTGCTCTGTTGTTCTTTCTTACACAAATTCACAGGTCCTCCTTCAAGGGCAAGCTGGAAGTATTCGTGTGTGTGTGTGTGTGTGTGTGTGTGTGTGTGTGTGTGACTCAAAAAGGAATATGTCATGGGGCTGGTGCTAAGTTTTAAACTATTCTCAGAACCTGCTTTGTATTAGCATTCGATTTCCAGGCTCTGCCAAGAGCCCCTAATAATAGGCTCATTAGATGTGGTGGCAGACTCAGATCTCCAGCCTGCACACTTCAGCACCCTCTTATCTGGCACCAGATTCTTTTTTCCTCCTTCACGGTTCAGTGTGGTGCTAACAGAACGTTTCCCAAGGAGCCTAAAAGCAACTGGTGTGTTTTTGCGTGAAGGGTGTGAGGTCTGTGACAAGCATCACCCATCGGTCCTCGGCTACCCAAGTCCAAGACAACAGGAGACAATGTCCAGAAATTGCCCTAGTGAGGAATACTAGGTCAGACCCTCGAGAATAAAAATCATGTTTGTTGAAGGGGCTTTCCCCTAAGATATGTGGAGTGTTTGAAAAACAATGCTGGAAATACCAGTGGTGTCAGCTCTGAACACTGGACACCATGAAGGGGTGATTACAGCTGTGACAGACCACATCTGGGATTTTCCCAGCTCCCTAAAGAATGCCAACCTTGCTGCAAAAAGGACTGGATCTCCAAAACAGCTGGGCATTTCCA